GTATCGCAGTGAAAGCATCAGTCGATGCTATATTGTATTCTTCTTAATTAAACTCTCTTTTGTAAAGCTATCGTGTCTCGATACTTTACGGGAATATCCCAACATTTCTAATTTTAATTACAACTACTTACGTCTAGCTCTTTCCTCCACCTCCTCCCCCTCCTCCTTCTCCCGAGCGCGTCTCAGGCGAGTTGAATCCAATGGTGGCAACGAACGTACATCATGTAGCAACATGTTCACTCGATAACGCCGTATGTTGCAAGGCAACCGATGCAGCGAAGAAACGAACTCTGACTAGTTCCTCAAAACGCATTTTAAAATGACATCTATGTGAAAAGGATAGGGGTAAAATTTGCCAATGGGGTGAAAAAGAAAAAGAGGGGGTAAAAATATATTAGCTAAGCTTATAATCCCACATTTCAAAAGAGAAAACATGATCAAGGGTCTGGGTGGAAAAAGGCAAAGAGGGGGTAAGCTTATAATCCCACATGTCAAAGGAGAAAACATGGTCAAGGGTCATAAAGATAGTATTTTGTGCGCAGACACGTTCAAAATCGAAGATCTAGTCGAAAAGACAAAGAGGGGGCAAAAAGTATATATTATAGGTTAGCTCACAGTTCCACATTTCAAAGTCCGTCAGTCGAGAGTGAATCAGTTTCAACGAATGTGAAAAGAGTGACTTGGGAAATATGTGCGATAACATGGATCAAGATCTGGTGGCGCGAGTCGACGAGGTTGCTACCATGGGCGACTATTTCGCGTGGATTCTGCAATGCGACGAGTGCATCGCGAAACTCGAAGAACGTAGCCGTGCCAAGCGTCCAAGGCTGTCCATCGGCAATAGACAATCTCTGGTGGCGCAAATCGCGCGACTCGAGGGAGTAAAAAAACAACTGGAACGACGATTCGTACATTTCGGTGGTGGCGATGATTACGCGAGTGTCGGACCTTCTTCGAGAGCGCAACTGTCGTGGCGCGAGATCGACACCGCGTTTGACAGTCGCGTGCTTACCGGTGTGGTGATTAACGTGGAGTACATCGAGCCGCGGAAATTTCTCGAGGACGCTCGCGATGTAGTGGTCGAGCACGTGCGAGACGCTATCGAGCGCTATAATTGTGTAAAGGTGAATACCGTGTTCAACGGGGAGTTTGTGGCGGGTGATAAACGTGCAAATAAAAGCATAAATACTATGAACTGTTTATTACAACGGACCTACAACTGTGGTACAAGTCGCGCGTAATCAATCCGATTCCAACCGAACTCGAAGAATTCCAGGAGCGTGATAGCGGGTGGGCCCTGTCGCGTATACACAACATAACTATTAATGTGAACAAGTGCAATCCTATGCGCGCGGGATGCCACATAGACATGCCAGAAGTGGTGAAACGAAAGAAAGCAGTGATCAATGTACAATCACAGGACAATGCGTGTTTCGCGTGGTCGGTGGTCGCTGCTCTGTATCCAGCTGAAAGGCATGTGGATCGGAAATCGTCGTATCCACATTACAGCGATGTGTTAAACCTGCGAGACGTTCCAATGCCAATGACATTAAGTGGTATTAAAAAGTTTAAACGGTTGAACAGTATCTCCATTAATGTGTACAGCATCGATGAAAAGAACAATTGTGAACGCGCGATCGTACCACTACGAGTTGCTGACGAGAAGAAGGAGAAGCACGTGAACCTTTTATACCTGCAAGATCAGGAGGGTCACTTCGTCTGGATAAAAAACTTATTCCGCCTCGTAAGCTCGCAACTCAGTAAACAAAAGGAGAAGAAATACATTTGCGATCGGTGATTATCAATAAAATTTATGAAAAATTGTTTTATTTGAAAAAATATAAAAATGTTTTTTCTTTCCAGATGTTTGCATTATTTCCATTCAAATGGAAAGTTGGAAGCCCACAGCGTGGACTGTCAACAGATAAATAACTGCGCGATTGTATTACCCAGCGAGAAGGACAAGTGGCTCAGCTTCAACAACCACAGCAGGAAGGAACGCGTGCCGTTTGTAGTGTACGCGGACCTTGAGTGCATCTTGATAAAGACTGATACCGATACCAAAGCATACCAGCACCACCAGATATTTAGCATCGCGTACTACGTCCACTGCTCGTATGACGACTCGCTGTCAACGTACCGTTTCCGCCGCCACATTGATTGCATCGCGTGGTTCGCCAACCAACAAGAAGAATTGGCATATCGTGTACAGAATATTCTGTCGAGTAATGTTCCCATGCAAACACTTTCTAAAGAACAGTATGAGAAATTCCGTAGTGCCACGCACTGTCACATATGCGAGAAACCGTTCGCACAGGGTGATGATAGAGTACGCGACCATTGTCATCTAACCGGACAATATAGAGGCCCCGCGCATTCTAATTGTAACTTAAATTACAAAGATGCGTATTTCATTCCAATCGTTTTTCATAATTTATCCGGCTATGATGCACATTTCATAATTAAAGAAATCGCTACAGCGTTCGAGGGCACAGTTGATGTATTACCCATAACGAAGGAAACATACATTTCCTTTACAAAAAATGTAAAAAATACCATAGAAAACTCAAAGCGACAAAATTGTATAAAGCTGCGATTTATTGACTCATACAAATTTCTGAGTACTAGCTTCGATAGATTGGCATCGTTTCTCCATAGAGACCAATTAAAAATTTTACGATCTGAATTTTCAAAATTATCCAGCAACGATTTCGATCTATTGACGCGTAAAGGTGTGTTTCCATATGAATATGTGGATTGTGCGAACAAGCTGCAGGACCCGCGTCTACCTCCACGCGAGTCATTTTTCAGTTCTTTGACCGGAGTCACCGTATTCGAGAGCGATTACGTGCGCGCCGAGAATGTCTGGCAGCGGTTCTCCATCCAAACCTTAGGCGACTACAGTGATTTATATATGAAGATAGATGTCTTGTTATTGGCCGACATTTTTGAAAATTTTCGCGATAGTAGCATCAACAGTTATGGATTAGATCCCGCGTATTATTATACCATGGAGAATGTATAAGGAGACCGAACTAGGTCTGGATCACGTCACCGAAAGTGGGCCGACATTTTTGCCATCCAGTGAATCAAAATTTTGCCACTTGTAGCGCTGGCGTCGCCTTACGCGATTAAGAATTCGCTCATGAGTTTACCGATCTTGATCTCGTAGATACAGCGTATAACTGTTGTTATCTGGAGGACAATTTCTGAAACTTACGAAAATTACAAAAGTGAGTGAATATTTATAATTTCAATCTGTGAATTCGCTCACTTTTGTAATCTCCACAAGTTTCAGAGATACACAATCCATCTCCTCATCTTATTTACAGATCGGATGTATATTATATAATCACGAAAGCTTCATACATATGACAACCATGTGTCACGTACGAATGCGAG